GTAACAAATCATCACATTGTATACCTTAAACTTACACAATGTTATATGTCAACTATATTTCAATAAAAAAAATAAAATAAGTGCAAGTGTACTTGAGAAAACCAAACATTTACAGATTTTATTACACCAGAAACTTAAACATTATGTACAGATAGAAACTGACCTCACTGAGATTTTATAACAAAATGTGGAGATAAATCTCATGCGTGACCCAATAATGAATAGTTAATATTTTAAACATTTCAACCAGAATATTCAATTATGCTTTCATATATTTTAATCTAATATAAAGCTAAAAAAATCACTTAGGGAAAATTATTACCACTTTTAAATTACCATCATTATTGTTATTAATATGTTTCTCTTATTCTACTCCCAGGTAGAAGTATGAAATTTAATAGTTTACTTTTCTGGTTTACAAAAAACTGTTTTGAATGCTTGCATTTTAAAACAAAAAGATTCTTAGCTAAGTCATTTATTACTTTCTAAAATGCTGACCTCAGTACATAATTTTACATATATTTTTCATTACTGATTCATTAAAGTGTTCATCAGTAGAGTTACAAAGTCAGGCCACTGTCTTCCCTACTGGGTATGCAAGTTCCTTCATATATAGACGTTTTCCACTTGATGTCAGTAATCCATTCCTGAAAATAATATGTTCTACAGAAAAATGTTAACCAACGCAAAGAAGTGGAAGGCTCTGAGATTTTCCCTACTTGAAAGCTCAAGTCTGCCACAGTTTCCTGGATGTTGGCAGAAGATACAAGACTTCTGAGTCAGAGACAAAAAACTTTATCACATACAGAAATAATAGTAGCCAGAGCATAAGCACTTTCTTGAGCCCAATCTTGAGTCTAAATTTCCACAAGACAAGGCAAAGAGGGCTAGACGATGCCTATACAGTACATGCAAATGATTGTTTTACAGGAAAAGAAACCCTGAGCTTAAGAAATTCAAATCTTTCTTTTTTTCCAGAAGAAGATATTATCTTAATCTTCAAAGGGTGTTCGTTATATGATCATCTTTAAAAAGATAGTCCAGAACAAAAACAGTCAGTCCCTCTACTTTCAAGACATAGAGAATCTTGAGAGTCCCCTGGAGAACTGTCTCCCAACAACTAGAAGCCTGTTGGACCTAAGTCTAAACTTTGAGTTGAAAGACTCTAATTTACTTACAATGGGAATAAGTGGGCTGTGAGTAAAGGATTAGAATGAGAAAATTAAAAATAAGGATTTGGGAGGAATTTATTAAAGAATAATTGGTATTATCAGAATATAAAAATAAGCCTTGTGTAGCAGATGCATTTAGATCCTTGTTTCATATCTCTTCAGTCCACCTTTTATTTCAGCTGCTTTTGCAATGTACAGTTTCATGCAAGTTCAGATTCATGTTGAATTAGCAGTGTCCCGTATCAAGCACATAATGTATATCTTTCAGCTTTCTGACTCCCCTTGAGCACCCACTGCCTGTGGGAATACACAGCCTAGAAGAACAAGGGAGTTTATGCCTTCAGGCAAGTCCTCAGCCAATGGAGAATGGGAGCCAGTGGATAAATTCTCTAGCTTTCCAACCATCAGAAGAAAATTCTGGGAGAAATTCTTTATGATTCTCCCAAATACTGGTGAATCGAGTTCTCATTGCCTTTATAATGTTCCAGGAGGAGTTTACTCACTAAAAAATAGAGAACCTGGCTAATATGTACCAGCAGTGAGTGGTCAAATATAAGTGGGAATCAATTTTGACAGTATCTGGCTAGCAGGACTGGAATATATGGCTAGATGGGGAAGTGTTTATTGAAATGAGGGTACTCTGGTGACACAGTATTTAATATCCTAACAGGAATAGCTGGAGCCTCCCCCAGCATTCTGATTGGATGACTCCTTGAAGATTGGACATAATTATTGCATAAATAAGGTGGTGATGCTCAAACTCTCTTGGAAGATTATTGTGAAAGAATTCACAGGGCTCAGGGAGGTAGGAATATTAGAATAGATTTGTTAAATGAGACCAGAGAACCTAGCAATTTACCAAGTTCCTTGAAGGATCTAGAACAAATTTCTTTCACTAAGGCAAAAAGGAATGAACCAGTGTTGGGTGATATTTTGGGTTCCTGGACCTAATTCCAATGTGGGGGGGAGGCTTCCCACATAAAACCAAACAATTCTTGGACGTCAGCAATGTCCACAAATTCAACTCAATTCTGACACTATCTACCTGGAGATAACATCAGATTCCACAGGTTAAGTGTTGTCCTACAAGACTACCCCACCCTCACTTCAGACACCAGTTGTTATATATCGTAGGCTCCAATTACCCCCTCCTTAGGTTTGATTAATTTGCTAGAGTGGCTCACAGAAATCAGGAAAACAGTTTACTCGTGTTTACCAGTTTATTATAAAAGAATATGATAAAGGATACAGATAAACATTCAGATAGAAGAGATGCATAGGGCAAAGTATGTGGGAAGGGATGTGGAGCTTCCATGCCCTCTCTGGGGTGCCATTCTCCCAGCACCTCCAAGTGTTCACCAACATGGAAAGTCTCCAAACCAGTCCTTTTGGGTTTTTATGGGGTCTTTACTACATAGGCACGATTGATTAAATCATTGGCCATTGGTGATTGAACACAATTTCCACTCCTCTCCCCCTGGAGGGTGGGGGTTGGGACTGAATGTTCCAAGTCTAATCACATGATTGGTTCCCCTGGCAACCAGCCCCCACCATTAAGTGAGTTCCAAAAGTCACCCATTAACATAACAAAATGCTTTATAGCTCTCATCATTCAGGAAATCCCAAGGGTTTTATGAGCTCTCTACTAGAAATAGGGGCTAAAATCAAATATATATATTTCTCATCATAAATCACAATTTCACAGGGGAACTGTCATTTCTACTACTTTCTGTAGTGGCCATAGGCCAGAGTTGATGGTAAGAGATAGAATTTGGCTCCCTTTTGTCAAAGGGAATGACAGGTTTCTGAAATACTGGAGTACAGATAGCCACCAGAGGCAAGATGGCCATAATTACCATGAAAGGCAGAGTGACAACCAGGATACATTGACCTGCAGAGATTGATGGCGATGGATAACAGACCTAAGAGATAAATGTTCAGCCAACTAAAGTGTTGCTTGATTTGGCTAATCATATAAAATCAAAAACTGGAAAGCAGAAAGATGATGTTAGCCGCCGCAGTGGAAAATCACGCAATCCCTTATCCAGTGCCCAGAGACTGAAGCAGTCCTCATATCTCATGCCCATTATTTGAATGGGAGGCTGCATCCCCTTGAATAAGGACACTGAGATTCTACTTTAAATATGTACAATAAATTCTGCCTCAATCCTTCCTCTAAGGGACTTGAGGTCATTTACCTGAATAAGAGCACTCTAAAGAAAAGTGAATTTCTCATTTCTTTTGAGACCCTTAGATAAAGGATCTGAGCTGACACAAAGACCAGGGGACCCAAACAGCATCATGATTGCCCACTTAGACTGAGGAGCTTATAAAAGTAAAGTAATGTAAAGTAAAATAAATGTAATCTTGGTCCAAATGCATGTTATAGTGAATCCAGTGGTTCTACTGGTCATTTGTCCAGTTCCTGAATGCATAATTGAGATGAATATACCCAACAGTTCACATTGGTTACTTGAGCCACAGAAACTGCCTCCCTTGTCTAAGAAAGTAAAGCAGGACCAATACTACATCCAGACTAAAACTGAAGAGATAAGTGTCACTCTCCCAGTTTAAATGATGCAAAGGTGGTAGACCCCATCATATTACCTATGTAATAATTTAATTCACTTGTATGGCCCTTACAAAAACCAGATGGATAGTGACAGATGATGATGGACTACCGTACACTTGATGAAATTGTAGCTTTAATTGTATCCTTGGTGCTGGATGTAGAATCTTTTCTGGAGCAAATTAACACAACCTTTGGCATACATTGGCAACTACTCAGATGTCATATGTATTTTCAGTTTTTGTCATTAAAAAGTAAAAAAACAAAAACAAAAAACCGCTGCTTACTATTATGTGGGAAGTGCAACAGTACATATATATTGTCTCCCTTTAGGTCTATGTTAACTATACTACTGTTACAGTATGATCCAAAAGGACCTTGATGATTTTGATATTCCTTAGAACATCTTACTGGCATACTACATTGATAAAATCATGCTAGTCAGAAGTGGCAAATAGGAAATGACAAATATTCTATATGCTACAATAAGACACATATATGTCCAAGAGTGGGAGATAAGTCCTATAAAGATTCAGGGGCCTGTTATATCTGTGAGGTTTTTAGGTCTCCAATAATCTGGAGCATATTAGAACCTCCCTTCTATGGTAAAGGCCAGTTATTTCATCTTGAATTGCATAACAGTTAGAAAGAAGCACAGCATTTGGTGGGCCTATTTGGATTTGGGAGGCAACATATCCCACAATTAAGCTTACTGCTAAAATGGATTTATTAGATTACTTGACAGGCTTTCAGGTTTGAATGGAGTCTAAAACAAGAGAAGGCTTAATAGAAGATCCAGGCTGTGTTGAAAGATGGCCTCCCACTGGAACCATAAGAGTCAGTAGATCCAGTGGTACTAGAAGTATACATGGTGGATAACTATGCTATGTGGATTCTCTGGTAGCAATAATAGGAGAGTTGCAGAGCATATCTCTAAGTTTTAAAAGAAAGATTCTGCCTTAAAACAGAGACCCACTTTGCATTGGACAGCAGCTTTATTACAGACAGAGAATCTGACCATAGGGGCATCAGACATGTCAACCTTAAAAATAGAACAGGCAGTTAATTTACCAGCAAAGTGAGTTTATTTGGGAATGGCAGAGAATTGAAATTTGGGATAACAAGTTTTGGCAAAACATGGGCAAGTCCAGAGAGCAAAGGAGAGGGGCTTTCCTTTATAGAGCAAAGGAGGGAGTTGGTAGGGGTGGTTTTGAACAAAAGTGCATTGGAGGAGAACGAGAGTTCCCAGTGGTGACAACTTCTCATTGGCTGAGTTGTGGTGGTTCTCATTGGCTGGTTTGTTGCTGGGCAAGGAGAAAAATCTTCCTTCCTCTTGCCAGGGTGAGTAAAAGATGTTTCTTCCTGTTACTATCTGTCAAAATACAAGTGGTAGTGCACAAGAGCTTCTCCTTCTGGCCACCTGATTTCATTTTAAATGAGGTTTTCCTTTACTTATTTTCATAAACAGGAGCTCTTTGAGTTGCATACTGTCAGATCCATTAAACTATAAGATCGGTTGAGTGTACCAGCAATCCACTTTATTATTACCACAGCCAACCATGATATATTTGAGATTGGGCTTTGACAAGCACAGAAGGCAAGAGTAAGTTACATGAACAGGTAACCAAGACCCCCATATCACCTACCTAAGTGTGATCTCAGGTTTACTTTGCACTAAAAGTGACTATCTTAAGCATGTGCTCTAAATCTTTTCTGTTCTTGCCACTTGGTCTACCTATGAGTGCAGCCCAGAAGGATGGTAGGACATTAACTCTCTGTGACAACCCTTAGCCAATGGGGAATGGGATATGGTAGATAAATTCTCCATCCTCTAATCTTTCAAGGGAAAATTCTGGGAGACACTCTACATTCTCTTTTGATGTTTGAGTGGAATCAATCCTCCATTGCCTACAGTGGTGACCTTGATAATGCACCCTTATATATATTTATTTCATTTTTGTTTATTTGCTTTTACTCTTTTCCTATCTTGCAATCTCCATATCCTCATTTCTGCTGCCTGGGGTCACTTTCCAAATAAACTTTCTGTATCTGAGTCCTTGTTTTGGGGATACCCAAATTAAGACAGACGCCTATATGGAGCAGGATAATTAGAAAATAAATTTGATAAGAATATTAGTATGTGAGGAATGGGGGTGAGGCATGTGGAACATTGTTTGCAAATGTGGTTGCAATAACTCCCCTTCCTGATTCATTCCTTTGAATAGACTTCCTCCCATACATGGAGCTTAGGCATATTCCTTGCTTCAGTAAATGAGTCATTAGAAAATGTAATGTGAGCAGAGGTTTAAAAAGCACTAGTCTATTGCTGTATTGAAAAATAATTCACAATAATTAAATAAGGCTTATTCTAGGCATGTAAGGATGGTTTAACATCAGAAAAAACTATCAATTCCCTTTACATCAAAGCTAAAGTTTTCTTTTTAGTGAAGGGCACCATAGCCAAAGTTATCAGCTAGAAGAGTAGGAAATGATATTTGAAGATTCTAAAACTGATAAGAGTTACTAGTTATCATATATGAATAATTTTGAAAATCACTAAAAATAAACCTCAAAAAGAAGAGAAAAATGAGCAATGGATATAAGCTATTTACAGCAGGAGCTACTTGAGTGGTTACAAGTATTTGGAGATAAGCTCAATCTTACTGGCAGTTAGCTGAAGACAGCCTAGGTGTTCAACATGTGAGGAATGGATAGGTACAGTACAGTAGATTTATACGTGGAATGCTATACACGATTTAGATCAGCAAACTTTATCTATGTGTAACAACATGGATGTATGTTAAAAATATAATATTGAATAGATAAAGAAAAATTAGATCTTTGGCACAATTCCTATTTTATTAACTAAAAATATATATGTACCCCAACAACACAATAAGGACAAGGATAAACACATTAAATTAAAATGGAATCTTAGATAGAAAAAAATAAATAAAAATAGGGGAAGATCTACCTTGATTAATGATGACAATGTGCCATCAAATGTGGATTGTTACTAATTCAACTCTCTGCACCTGAATTCCTACGTGGAAAACAAAAATGTTACTACATAGGAAACTTGAAATCAAACATCAATCTCACAATCTTTTGTGTTACCTATATAACATAATGGTATATAAAAGTTGGTCCTTTAAAGAATTCTCAAAGTCTAACAAATCATTTGGGTTGGTAGCTGAAGAATATGCTAAATTCTTTCCATGGTATTGGTCAAAGTTTTCACATAGGCATGTCTGTCTGTCTATCTATCTATCTATCTATCTATCTATCTATCTATCTATCTGTCTATCTATCTAGATCATCTATGTTCAGCATTTTCTATTTCCTTTTTATTTTTCTATCTCTTTTGTCCACAAAATTGAATAAAAAATCCCTTTGCTAGTGTCAAGAAACGTTGATGTGCCTGTTCTCCAAGATAACAACTATGCCAGAAAAATTAACTCATAACCTACATTGCAAGAGGGTTAACTCTGGCTATATAGATTGCTCCAGAAAATACACTTGTAATAGCTACAGAAAATGCATCCTTCGTTGCTCATTTGAAAGCTTTTATTCTAGCCAATGCCATGGTAACAAATCTGTTATGATCAGCAACTGGGGAATTTTGAAACCCATCTGATCTCTGTGAACATTTCTAAGTCTGCTTTTTTCTTTCAGCTATTAAATTACACAAATTGTTTTCTTAATAAATTTTGTCCCTGACCCTTTTATCTTAGTGCTATGTAGATATTTCTGTTTTTCAATGCAGTATCTTTAGAAGTTAAAAAAAATTCTTATTTCCAAATTTTTACAGAAAATGAACTGCATTTGTTTCAGAATCTAGAAAGGAAGAAAATGATGCTAGTAGCTTATACAGGAAAGCATAAAAGCATGATGGGTGGCTTCATTTGGGACATGGTGTGAAGAAAAAATCAAGCATAGCTAAACTTCCTTGTCTTCAAAGTGCACAAGATTTTTTTCATATCTGTATTGCAATAATGATAATCTTGATAATAATAGCTAATAATTACTTAGTGTTTACTCTGTGCTAGTCATTGTTCTAAATACTTTACATGTGCTAACTAGTTTAAACTGCATAACAACCCTAAGAGGTAGGTATTATAATTATCCCCATTTTGAAAGATGAGGAACTGAGGCACAGAGGGCTTAAGAAACCTATCCAAGGCTGTATGCAATAGTATTATAACCCAGGGAGTCATGCTACAGATTTCATTTTATATAAATGGAAAACAGAATTAGGAAACTGATTGTTTTATCTATAAGATATCAAAATAATTTTAATCTGTGTTTTATTTTAACTGAATTAAGCTGTAGGTACAATCTAAGAGCCAGAGAGATTAAAATGGAGCGTATTTAATGTTATACCTCTGCAGTTTCTAATATCTATTTATTCCAATAAAAATGCTAAACTTCTATTGTCTGATCTTAATTTTCAGTTAGTCATGATGGTAGAATGCATATTATATCCCCCAGTGATAAGAGATATGTTATTACTCTATCATAGTGATATTCATAATTATATCATCACATGCTCTTATTTGAAACATCCTCTGTGATCACAAGGCCTAGTACCTACACAGAGCTATTCAGGAAAGCAATAGAGCATAGCTGTTAAAAGCATGACTTCTGGAATCATGCTGCTTTGGTATAAACCTTAGCTTCCCCAGTATCCTAGTACAGTTATTTAATTTCTAAATGCTTCAGTTTCCTCTTTTGGAAAATTGCAAGCATATCATATACTCTTAAGGGCTATTCTGAGGAGAAAATAACACAAACCTTGTAAAGTGCTCAGTCAACACTCACTGCCACAATGAAATGCTGAGTAAATGTTAGCCATTTTAATTAACATTGAGGTTTTAGCTATGTGCTTTGGGCAAACTAACATCTCTGGATTACAATCTCCTCATCTGTAAAATGGGGAGACTATCAATGCCTGACATGTAGAGTATTTGAAGAAATTAAGGAATAGGTACATGCAAAAATAAAGGGTCTGACATTTAAGAAGTCCTCAGTAAATATTAACTATTATTTTTTTAGAACAATTCAAGTGGGCAAAATAACATGCATATGAAAATTACAGAGTAATGAAATAAGATGCCATTAAGATCAACTACTTTTGCTTTATCCATGTAGAAAGAATGGCATATTGTATTTGATAGCTAGGATGGTTTACAAAGCAATCTAGAACAAAAGGCCTGATTCCACAAGGATTGGTTGGTCCTCCAATGCAACAATCTTTTGTTAGGTATAAAACTGCAGGAGATGGGAAGATCAGCAGGAAATTGTTGCTTATAGAATCTATACTCTACTGCATTTCTATACACTAGTAATGAACTATAAGAAAGAGAAACTAAGAAAACAATCTTAGTTACAATTGCATCAAAAAGAATAAAATACCTAGGAATAAATTTAAACAGGGAGGTAAAAGACCTGTGTATTGAAAACTACAAGACATTAATGAAAGAAATTGAAGAAGACACAAATAAATGAGAAGATATTCTACGCTCATGGATTGGAAAAATTAATATTGTTAAAATGTCCATACTACCCAAAGCAATATACGAATTCAATGCAATCCCTATCAAAATTCCAAGGGCGTTTTTCACAGAAGTAGAACAAACAGAATAAATAATTTTAAAATTTATATGGAACCATAAAATGCCCCAAATAGCCAAAGCAACCTTGAGCAAGAAAAACAAAGCTGAAAGTATCATGCTCCTTGGTTTCAAACTATATTACAAAGCTATACTAATTAAAGCGATATGGTATTGGCATAAAGATAGACACGTAGATCAATGGGACAGAATAGAGAGCCCAGAAATAAACCCATGCAGATATGGTCAATTAATTTATGCCAAAGGAGCCAATAATATACAATGGAGAAAGGACAGTCTCTTTAATAAATGGTGCTAGGAAAATTGGACAACCACATGCAAAAGAATGAAACTGGACCTCTATCTAACACAATGCTCAAAAATTAACCCAAAATGGATTAAAGACTTGAATATCAAGACCTGAAACCATAAAACTCCTAGAAAAAAACACAGGCAACAAGCTCCTCAACACAGGTTTTTGTGATGATATTTTGAATCTGACACCAAATGCAAAAGCAACCAAAGTAAAAATAAACAAGTGGGACTATATTAAACTAAAAGGCTTCTGCACAGCAAAGAAAATCATCAACAAAATGAAAAGTAACCTACTAAATGGGAGAAAATATTTGCAAATCATGTATCTGATAAGGGGCTAATATCCAAAATATATAAAGAACTCATACAACTCAATAGCAAGCAAGCAATCCAATTACAAAATGAGCAGATCTGGGGTTGGCCCAGTGGCGTAGCAGTTAAGTGCGTATGCTCGGCTTTGGCAGCCTGGGGTTCGCAGGTCTGGATCCCAGGTGCGCACTGATGCACCGCTTGTCAAGCCATGCTGTGGCAGGCGTCCCATATAAAGTAGAGGAAGATTGGGCCTGGGTGTTAGCCCAGGGCCAATCTTCCTCAGCAAAAGGAGGAGGATTGGCATCAGATGTTAGCTCAGGGCTAATCTTCCCCCCAAAAAGAAAAAAAAAAAAAAAGAAGTGAGCAGATCTGAATAGTTATTTTTCCAAAGAAGATATACAGCTGGCCACCAGTATGTGAAAAGATGCTCTATATCATTAATCATGAAGGAAATGCAAATCAAAACCACAGTGATATATCACCTCCCACCTGTTAGAAAGGCTATTAACAAAAAGGCAAGAAATAACAAGTGTTGGTGAGGATATGGAGAAAAGGGAACCCTTGTGGATTGTCAGTGGGAAATGTAAACTCATGCAGCCACTGTGGAAAACATTTGGCAGTTTCTCAAAAAATCAAAAATAGAACTACCATATGATCCAGCAACTCCACTTCTAGATATTTATCTGAAGAAAATGAAAACACTAACTTGAAAAGATACATTCACCCAAGTGTCCATGTTCATTGCAGCACTATTTACAACAGCTAATGTATGACAACAACCTAAGTGTCCCTTGATGGATAAATGGATAAAGAAATAGTGGTGTGTATAAATACACACACACACACACACATACACACACACACACAATGGAATATTATTCAGCCATAAAAAGAATGAAATCTTGCCATTTGTGACAACGTGGGTGGATCTCGAGAGCAATACTCTAAGTGAAATAAGTCAGACAGAGAAAGACAAATATCATATAATCTCTCTTAACTATGCAATCTAAAATAAATAAATAAATAAATACAAGCTCATAAAAAATAGAATCTAAATTCTAGTAGAAGAGATAGACACACATGAATACATATGTCGTCATTATGCTCTGGAGGGAAATTTGGCTTTCAAGACTTTGTAGGAACATGAAGTAGACTTGAATTGTGGTAGTTGTAATGGGAATGTTGAGAAGTGAATACACTCAAAACAAATTAAGGAGACAAGATTTGCTGACCATTTGATATAGGGTGCTGAGGTAGAATTCTGCTGTTAATAACTCCAAGATTTCCAGCTTGCGTGGGTGAGATAAATGGTGTTAATTGAGACAAGGCAGTGAAATGACAGTGGAACAGTTAAATTGAAGATACAGAGAGTATTTACTTGGGAACTAAGTTACTAATTCATTCAGACTTTCATTGTCTTAGTTAATAATTTCTATTAATAAGTAGAAACTATCATTCATTAAAATAGCAATACTTGCTTTTCCTATCTTGTTTCTCTTTGAGGCATTGTTTTTTTCCTTTTGAGAGTTTTATTATATAGTTGAATAAAATGAAATTCTTTTACAAAGCAGTTTCTCCACATAGTATCTGAATATAATAAATTTAACTAAATATTTTGATTTGTAATAAATACTAACAATGGAAAACACTAATATTTATTGAGAGCTCACTACCTTCTAGGAACTACATGGAGCTCTGTAAGAACACACACAGCATCTCAATTCTCGCAGCACAAATAAGGAGGCAAAATTGCTATGCTCACTTTTTAGATGAGGAAACCAACTCTTAGCAAGGTTGAAAAATTTCTCCAATGTCATATAACTACTAAGTAGCAGAGGCAATATTTCAACTTAGATGGCTCTTACTCCCACAGTATGCTCTGTTAACCACTATGAAATACAGACTAATGTTTGGACATGATTAAGAAAGAATCTGGTTACTTTGGAAAATAAAAAATAGAGAAATTTGGGTTTCTCCAAGGAGAGAAGTTCAGTTGCCCACTCTCACCTCAGATACATTAGGCAAGGGTCACAGTTCTTTTGACAATTCCTTATCCACAATGAGATTGCATCTAGAGGATCTTAGTATTGTTTCCCCTAAGTATCCATAATGCATTTTCCTGTATTAAGCTCTTGTAGTGCATGTGTTTTAGAACTCATATGCCCAGTCAAATGGTATTATTTTGCAGTTTCTTCATCGTCTAAATGCATCAGTGATGTTGACTGTTATTTCTGTGTTTGGTCAGGATAGCTCCTTTTATTTTTAAAAATCTTTACTGATCATTTTGTGTATTTTCTTTCAACAATGGTATTAATGAATATACTAGTTTGAAGTAAAATTCAGATTATATTTCTACTAGAGTATAATTTTGGGAGTTTTTTTTGTTCTAAAATTTAGGACAGCAAACTTTGAAACTAAATATT